TGAAAAATTCCTGAATCTGTTGAGAAGCATTTGACAACGTATAAATACTGCAGAGCGTCTCTGATCTTACTTGTAGTTGGTGTTGATGTCAGAGACTCTCCAGGCATTCTGCATGTCGAAGCCCATCCGCTTGACCTCCACCTCCAGCCTGTGACGCACGTGATCACCTGAGAGAGCAACGAGGAGAAATAAACACACACATCAGGGCTGCCTTACACTCCACTTTTAGACACACACTCAAGAAGTTCCCGTCAATTGCTCCCCACTGCTGTGCATTCCACTTCATCAAGTGAACGAGGAAGGTTTACATGGACATACCCTCGATTATGACTGAGGGAACAAGTAGGTTTCAATGACATTGACCTTTTTATTTACATAGCACAGTTTTTTTTTGCATGTGTACCTGGTCTGCACAGATGCAGGTGCTGGTCTTCATCATCAGTGTTTGCTCCTAAACACCAGGCGTGATAAGCCAGAGCGAACAGCTCCTCCAGACGCGCGGGGTGTGTGATCGCTCGCTGCAGACGCTTCAGCCACTCCTCACACTGCTTGAACGTCGAGAAATGACACCTGATGCACAAAAACAGACCCACACACTGAGGATACACTCCGAATGAAACACACAAAAACATCGAATACAAAAACCAAATGCAATATAGTAAAATATTTATATATATTTATATAGTTAAGTTTTTAATCAATCATAATTTGTCCTAAAGTTATAAATAAAATAAAATATTTGCAGTTTATTTATAAGAAAAGTGCCTATTTCAATTATTTATCATTTTTGAGATACAGTGCGTCGGCATCCATCAGCCTGTCATACTGAGCATAGCAAAGACGATTGACGCTCCGCCACAAGATGGCGACAGAGGCCGCATAATAAGCCCTTAGGGCAGAAAAACTCAAGACAGCTGATCAAATCAAGCCACTCTTTGTATAACCCTGAGTTACACGATTATCTTTACAATGATATAAATTGTGGTTGTGTGTATATGAAAATATGAATAACACAGCAGGGCATTAAATTACTGTTTATTTCTTTGCATTTTATCATTGTAAACTATAAAATCATGGGTCTCCTCATGGTTTGTGTTGTGAGCTGTCTGACAGTTCTCCCTCTGCTCTCAGAGCCCCATGCCCATCATGAAACATTTTTTTGAAACAAATCTGAGGTAGACTTAAACCGAAAGAGGGGGTCGTCACGGTCCTTTAACGCTCAGCTACATATGAAGAGTTCAAATCCAAAACCCTCTAAATGGTTCTCAAACTTTTTTCATCAAGTACCACCTCAGAAAAAAATAGTCTCTCCAAGTACCACCAAAATGAGCAGTATTGAAATACAGTAGAGTAGTAGGCCCAGTAAAGCAGCTACAACTCTGCACAGTAAAAAAAAAACATGGCAGATTACCTCAGAAATATAGGCTGTATGTCATATAAGGCATATTATGTGCATTATTTTTGATACATTTTGAAATGTGGGTAGCATGAACGTGACATTTCATTCCTCCACTAGAAGGAAGCCTGCGTGCCACAGTTTGAGAACCACTGCTCTAAACCAATCAGACCTCTTTTCTTGTAAATGAGCATTTTCTTTCAGGCTCCTCTGATTAGGTTTAGACGTTTCATTGTATATGTAATGATAGGATTGATATCTGGTAAATAAAATAACTTTTTTTCCATAAATGTTACTTTAGAGAATTCTTTGTTTTTAACAAGTTAAATTTTCTTTCCAGCTAAATCCACGTCTGCTTTTTTATGCAAAAACCTCTAAATACGGGACAAGACAGTGTAATTAGCTAAAAAAAATCACTAAAGAAGCAATTAGCGATTAATTTACCAAACATAAAACACAAACCGCCTGAAATTAAAAATACATAAATCTGTCAAGTAAGTGGCGGTTCATTCCACAGTGGTAACCCCTGATAAACCAAAGGCAAAGCAGAGGGAAATGAAATCTGTCAAGTGCATTTAATAACATCAATAACATTAATTAAATCTTATTCTGTTGTCATTTCTGATATTTTGGATTTGGATTTAATGTAAGTAGAGCAGTAACGCTTTAACGCTCAGCTACATACAAAGAGTTCAAATCCAAAACCCTCAAAAAAAAAAATAGTCTCTCCAAGTACCACCAAAATGAGCAGTATTGAAATACAGTAGAGTAGTAGGCCCAGTAAATCAGCTACAACTCTGCACAGTTAAAAAAAAAAACGTGGCAGATTACCTCAAAAATATAGGCTGTATGTCATATAAGGCATATTATATACATCATTTTTGATACATTTTGAAATGTGGGTAGCATGAACGTGACATTTCATTCCTCCACTAGAAGGAAGCCTGCGTGCCACAGTTTGAGAACCACTGCTCTTAGGCCCCGTTTACACTAATGCGTTTTAGTTTGAAAACGCATAAGTTTTGCTACGGTTACGCCAACCGTCCACACTACGCCGGAGTTCTCGAGCGCCGAAAACGGAGCGTTTCGAAAACGCTGGAGACGCTGGAGAAGCCGTTTTCATTTTGAAACGCAGCTGCTCCGTCTCAGTGTGGATGATGGAAAACGGAGACATCTGAAAACGGAGGCGGGGCTGCAGACGTTCGCCTCTCTGATTGGGGCTTTTCCTGAATATTAAGTAGCCTAACACACAGTTCAGTCCTGAATCTTCTCCGTGTAAGTTCAGACTTCGCAAGTTTGATCAAGGCTGCAGTCTCTTCTTCTCAGTTTGATATGGAAAAGCAGACTATACCGAGGACACGGGTAAATCTTCAAAGGGAACAGTGTACTTTATAACTTCATTCACATCACCCTGGCTTCGTTGTTTCACTTTCTCAACAATAAAATGTAAACATGATTTAAGGAACTGCCTATTTTCATTTTAATATTAGCAACTTAGACAGCAGACATGTTGAGGCCAATCAGACCTCTTTTCTTGTAAATGAGCATTTTCTTTCAGGCTCCTCTGATTTGGTTTAGATGTTTCATTGTATATGTAATTATAGGGTTGATATCTGGTAAATAAAATAGCTTTTTTTTCCATAAATGTTACTTTAGAGCAGGGGTCACACCAATCTCAGTCCTGGAGGGCCGGTGTCACTGCAGGGTTTAGCTCAAACTTGCCTCAACACACCTGCCTGAGTGTTTCAAGGGTACCTAGTAAGACCTTGATTAGCTTGTTCAGGTGTGTTTGATTAGGGTTGAAGCTAAAATCTGCAGGACACTGGATCTCCAGGAACAAGTTTGGTGACCACTGCTTTAGAGAATCCTTAAATTTTCTTTCCAGCTAAATCCACGTCTGCTTTTTATGCAAAAACCTCTAAATATGGGACAAGACAGTGTAATTAGCTAAAAAAATCACTTAAGATGCAATTAGAGATAATTTTACCAAACATAAAACACAAACACAAACCACCTGAAATTAAAAATACATCTGTCAAGTAAGTGTCGGTTCATTCCACTGTGGTAACCCCTGATAAACCAGGCACTAAGCAGAAGGAAAATGAATGAATGAAAACTAAGTGCATTAATCAATATCATTAAAACTGACATTGATTATATCTAAACAATCTGTTGTCATTTCTGATCTTTGAGATTTGGAGTTAATGCAAGTAGAGCAATGAGAACATTGTAAACAAGCTTGTTAGATTTAAATAATGTAGTGTAAAAACACTGTCAACATCAATATCTGTGCATTGTCCATTACTAAAATTAAATAGTTATTAAAGTAATATAAATAATGTTTTTACATTATATTTATCTTTTTTTTTTAAACCATAGCTTGCATTAGCAAATAAAACACAAGGTAGGCCTACTGTGCAAAAATAGAGGACGTCTCTCAGGAGCTGTCATTTATTCATCCTCGCTATACTCAAGATCTTGGTCTCTTTTTTATCTCGTTTATCCTCATAGTATCCATGCGGGATAAAAGAACGACATCTTTACTTCGTCTTTCGTGAAACGGAGTTGCTGTTTACATTAGATATTGTATATCAGACTCAATGAAAGTAGCGTCGCTGCGCAATGAAACGTTATGGATGCATGCTACACTTCCGACTGTACAGTGTTTTCTATTCTCATAATGCACAGAGTTTTGAGGTGAGGGACGTTTCATTTGCCATTCACTGACAGTCGGACAGACTCACGCAGTTCATCAAACTCCATCTTTTAATCAAAATCGAAAGCGGAATAAAACAGTCTCCTCATACATTTAGTGTATCAGCGCATTATTTGATTCTTGTTTTTGGTTTCTAGTTTGTTAGTGTGTGTTCACGTGTGTGAGAGAGAATATGACTGTGTAAGTTTGTACGTGACCGTGTGTGTGTGTTTACCTCACTACTTTCGAGTCTTTGCAGATGATGTGGAGCTGAAACATGTCTCTGCTCTCCACACTCTCAATGAGCCTCAGAGGAACCTGCACACACACAAAACACACACGTAACAGTGTTATAATGAAATCTCTCGTTCATCAGTTGTAGAATGTCACACTGTAGGCATTTACAGACACACTGATTAAGAGACACTTTATAAACAGGGTTACTATTATCATATAAATGTCTAGATGTTCACTTTTAAACACTTTTACTTTAAATATAAATATAAAATGGCATTACACATATAAAGAGTATATTATTATCCATACCTATATAATATAATATAATATAATATAATATAATATAATATAATATAAAATAATATAATATAATATAATATAAAATAATATAATATAAAATAATATAAAACAATAATATTATATAATATAACAAATAATAATATAATATGATATAATATAATACAATATTATATAATATAAAAATATAATTTATTATATAAAATAATATAATATAAAATAAAATAATACAATACAATACAATACAATATAATATTATATAATATAAAAAAACTAATACAATATAATACAATATAATATAATATAATATAATATAAAATAAAACAATAATATTATATAATATACTAAATAATAATATAATATGATATAATATAATACAATATTATATAATATAAAAATATAATTTATTATATACAATAAAATAATACAATACAATACAATACAATATAATATAATATAAAAAATTAATACAATATAATACAATATAATATAATATAATATAAAATAATACAATACAATATAATATAATATAATATCAAAAACTAATACAATATAATACAATATAATAATATAATATAATTTAAAATAATAATATAATATAATACAATATAATATAATATATAATAATAAAATAAAAAATAATATAATACAATATAATATAAAAATATAATATAAAATAATACAATGCAATAAATTATATATATATATATATATATATATATATATATATATATATATATATATATATATATATATATATATATATATATATATATAATATAATACAATATAAAATATAATATAATATAATACAATACAATATAATGTAAAATAAAAATATATTACAATTTTATATAATATAATATATAAATATAATATAATTTATTATAATATAAAATAATATAACATAATATATTATAATATAATATAATATAAAACAATAATATAATATAATACAATATAATAAATAATAATATAATATAATATAAAATATATAATACAATATAATATAAAATAATACAATATAATATAATGCACTATAATATAATATAATAAATTATAATATAATATAATATAATATAATATAATATAATAATATATTATAATAAGACTACATCAATGTGAGAAACAGAAAGAAACTCAAATATTTAGAGGGAAAGGAAGAGCTGAAATGAAGAGCTGAGGTCAAAGGTCAGAGGTGAAGGTGCAGGTTACTCACAGACATCTCACTGTCCACACCAGGAAACATCTACAACAGCGGATGAGGAAGAAGAGGAGAAGGAAGAGGATGAGGAAGAAAAGTGGGAAGAGGAGACAGTGAGGAGGATAAGATAAAAGGACAACGAAAATAAATAAGACAAGGAGGGAAGAGAAGAGAAGAGAAGAGAAGAGAAGAGAAGAGAAGAGAAGAGAAGAGAAGAAAAGAGGGAGTTGAGAGAAGAAGAAGTAGAGGAAGATGATGAGAAAGGAGAAAGAAAACAAAGAAAATGAAGAGTTTGAGGAAAATGAAGAGAAGGAAGAGGAAGTTAAGAGGATAAGGAAGAGGACGATGAAAACAACAAAGAAAATGGATATTATGAGGAGAAAATGAAGAAAAGGAAGTGAAAGTTGAGAGGAGGAAGAGGACGAAGTTATGAAAGAGGAAAAAAGGAGGAGGAGGTGAAAGAGAAAGAGAAAGAAAACAAGAAAATTTAATGAGGAGGAAGAAAGAGAAGGAAGAGGAAGTTTAAAGGAGGAAGTTGAGAGAGGAAGAGGAAGAGAAGGAAGATGGAAAGAGGACATAGAAAATAAATAGAATGAGGAAGGAAAAAGAGGATGAAGTTGAGAGAGGATGAAGAGGAGGAAGTTAAGAAAGAAGATAAGGAAAAGGCAGATAAGGAAGAGGAGTTAAAAAGAAAAGGAAAATGAATAGGATAAGAAGGAAAAGGAAGATAGGGAAAGGACGTTGAGAGAGGATGAGGTGGATGAGAAAGAGGAGAAAGAGAACAGAAAATAATAGAATGAGGAAAAAGAAGAGAAGGAAGAGGAAGTTGAGAGGAGGAAGAGAGGAAGTTGAGAGAGGATACGGAAGAGGAGGTCAACAACAGGGAAAATTAAGAGTATAAGGATAAAATGAAGAGAAGGAAGAGGAAGTTATGAGGAAGAGGAGGAAGTTATGAAAGAGGGAAAAAAGAAAAGACCAGGAAGATGAAAAGAGGACATGGAAAATGAAAAGAATGAGGAAGGAAAAGAAAGAAAAGGAGGATAAAGTTGAAAGAGGATGAAGAGGAGGAAGTTGAGAAAGATGACGAGGAAGAGGAATAAAAAGAAAACAAGGAAAATGAATAGGATAAATATCAAAAGAGAGGGGAAGGAAGTTGAGTGGAAGAGGGGTGAGAATGAGGAAACGGAAAAGAAATAGGATGAGGAGGAAAATGAGGAGGAGGAAAGGGAAGTAGAGAAAGAGGATGAGGAAGGAGAACAAGCAAATAAATAGTATGAGAAGAAAAGGAGAAAAAGGAAGGTGAAGTTATGGAAGAGGAAGAGAAGGAGGAAGAGGAAAAAGAACAGGAAAATGAAAAGTGAGAGGAGGAAAAGGAAGAGAATGGTGAGGAAGAAGAGGAGGACGTCATGAAAGAGGAAGAAAGAGGAAGAGAAATACAAGGAAAATGAATAGAATATGGAGAAAAAGAAAAGGAAGAGGAAGTTGAGGAGGAAGAGGAGAAAGTTGAGAAATTATGAGGAAGAAGAGAAGGAAGACAGAAAGAGGACATGTAAAATGAGTAGAATGAGGAAGGAAAAAAGAAAAAGAGGATAAAGTTGAGGATAAAGAGGAGGAAGTTGAGAAAGATGATGAGTAAGAGAAGGTAAAAGAAAATGAACAGCATAAGCAGGA